TATTTTTGTTAATAAATATTAACTAATCAATTAGGTTTTTAATTCTAGAATAACTTTAATTTATTTTGTAAATATTTAAAATTAATTAGAATTCATTAGGTTTTAACTCTAATTTAATTATTTTGTTTTCTTTCTTAAAATATAAAAAAAATCCAAAAATATGTCATTTATTATTTTTCATTAATTAATTTATTCAATAATCAATTTAGTATCTAATTTAGGACTTAATTTCATTCCTTAAAATAAAAACCACAAAAACATTTTTTTAAAAGGGTCAAAACCCTAAATTTCGCAGCCGATTTAATTTTGCGTTGCGCTTTATTTTTCTTTATCCAATTAATGTATCTGCTTCTGGTTTGTAATAAATAATTAGGACATTTTATTTATTTTTCTGCTTTTTATTTTCAAAGGGTTGTTTTTGGCGATGTAAATACCCGACGCCTTGTAATAATTAGTTTAATTTCCGCACCTTTAATTTCTGCAAATTATACAACAGTTAGATGTTTGATAATAGGGCTTGCATGACAAGAATGAATGCCTAATTTAAAAAAACAGTTAGATCACCCTTAACATGTGCAAAGATAAAAATAACTGAAATCAACACATTCGCACATGCGCACTCCTAGGGTACACCCCACTTGGTTGCCTTCGTAAATGGTCATTGAGTATAGGTTGTTTTAGAGGTCGCCCTCTTGTCTAAAAGATCATAGTTGCCTCGAAATGGTTGCCTCAGATATTGTTTCCTTAAACAAATGATCTAAGACATTAGGGTTACCGCTAAAGCGTCCTAACATTGCTTTATTGATCGTATGTCCCTCTTTCGAATTGACCCTCAAACTCCAACGACGGTGCTACCCACTCACTAATAGTGGGATAGCATTGTCTAAGGGAAATTGCATGGAACGATTCCTTTTTCGAGTAGGTAGATTAGCTCTTAGATACTTGCTCATTCAAAACAACACCTTTTCACACTTACACTTTTACAAACAAGTTTTCGAAAACACTTCATTACACTCTTGAGGATAGAAGCAAGAGTTAAATCGAAGTTTCAAACAAAAACTTTTTTTCAAACCCACAAACACAAAGAAAAAAATTTTGAAAATGATGAGCAAGTACCTAAGAGCCCGTAGATAACTACGGATAGAAAGGGTGCTAATACCTTCCCTTTCTATAATCTACCCCCCGTACTCAGAAACATCTTGAAAAGGAATTTTTCTGCGCTTTTTTCCTTTCCTTGTTGGATAAAATAAAAGTCGGTGGCGACTCTTGCTTATCGCGACATTTTGCAAAAAACAAACGCAAAACGCAAACTAGCACTTCAAAACAGTCAGTTCTTCCCAGCGCATCACAGTGGATTAAGGTGATAATTATAATTACTTAAATTTAAATAATTTAGCTATAATTATCTAGATTTATTTACTAATTATTAATTAGAATAAATAGAATAATATAGTGGAAAAGAAGAATAAGGGCAAGGTGGTAATATGTGGTGATATGTGAGGGTGTGAGGGGAATAACTTAAGAATGGTCCTAGGGGTAAAAAGAGAAAAAGAAGGAAGAGAAGTTTATTTGGTATGATCGAAGTTTGAGAGAACGCGGAGAAAAGGCTAGGGCTCAGAGGGAAATTTTGTAGAACATGAAGGAAAAGATCAATCAATTGCTAAGAATTAAGGTAAGGGGTTTAATTTGTTTATTATAATTGATAGAGGGTTAAGGTAATGTATGGTTTTGTTGTTTGATTTAATTGATGAACATGTGATTGAATTGACAAAAATATGATAAAATTGTCGATGTTAATGATGTTTGTATGCCATGATTCGTGTTCAATATGGTATGACGATGTATTTTGATGTTGTTATGCATTATATGATTATTATTATGTGTTTTGTATTGCATTTGGTACAAAGATATTAATTGTAATGGAGCTGGACATTGCAGAAATCGCAATAGGAAGTTGCAGTTTCGTGACCGCCGCTAGGCGAGCTTGGGGCGAAGATAGCGCATGTGCATCATCAGACGATACAACTGGCGAAGGATTGGGTGAAAAAGCAAGCTCTTTGGAAATGAATGGGGAAGGATGCATCGTTCTAGCATCGTCGGGCGAGCTATTGGCGACGGGACCACCGTTGGGCGATGTAGAGGTGATGAAGTCTGGTAGAATTTCCAAAGTATCATATTTGAGTTTTAGGACTCCATTTGATGCGTCCTTCGAAGCGTTGGGAAGCTAACACAATGAATTATAATATGATAGAGTTAAATGAGTTATTTGATGCATGAATCCATTATCTATATGTTTATAAGATTGATTTATTGTACGTTGTTATGATATGACGTTTTATTTTAATGACGATTATGATGTGTTGTGAAGTATCATGAAGACGATTTATGTTATGACTATGTGATTATTTATGTGATGATTATATGAATGATGATGCACTTGATTAGTTGTGGTCGCATTTATATGAAGTTATTGTGCATCATGCATTCATAGCATTTATGCATGCTGGTCCGCTATTTTGGAAGGTGTTCCGCTTATGATGAGCCTCAATCCTATTGTATGGATTGTGTGTGTGTTATGATGTGCTCTGGTTCCAAGATGGAATCGGTCCTATTATGGGGATCTTCGAATGGTGATGACCAAATGTTCATAAAATAATTTGGTACTACATGCATTGACTAGTCATGGTCGCATTAACACTTTATGTGACATTGCATGATTTCCATTAATGAGTTGTGCTATGACGATAATTGTGAAGTAAGCGACTATATGATGTTTTGATGATGAAATATGTTCATGCGATTTTATGATGTATATGTGAATATGAAGTATTGATGATTAGTATGTGATGTTATGTGATAATGGTGTTGTAACTGCTAATCTTTTCCTTATGTCTTTTATAATAAATTGTGATTATTCACCCTTTCTGTTTGAATGTTGCCTCCACGTGGGTAGCACACAGGTGATCAAGAGTAGTTCATTGAAGCTTAGGGGATAACCTCGAAGTGTTTTATTTATTTCGTTTTATTAGAAGGTGTCTTACTCTGATATGTAAAATCGGATTGGGAATGTTTAGTTTTGCAAATATGATGTTTCTCTTATGTTATGTTGATATGTTTTATGGAGATTTTAATTGTAGTTTGGTTTTAATAACTGATGAGACTAAACGTCATGAATTTTGAGAAGTTAATCATGTTGTTTTGACGATGATTTCACTGTGATGTTTTTAAAGTGATGAGTTGTTATATAAAGATATGTCATTGTTATTTATGTAACCCATGTTATGGAGCATGGATGTAATTGCGATGTTTTGTTATAAAGTGTGACACCCTTGTGTGGTGACTTTAATTGATTTATTTCGTAAGTTAAACAAATAATACATGTGGGGTTAGAAGGATGTTATAGTTCCAACCTTTTAAGATAGCTTTCCAAATTTTACTATCCATAGATTTTAGGAATGCTACCATATGGGTCTTCCAATAGTCATAATTGGTGCCATCTAAGAATGATGGTCTATTGTTGAAACCTCCTTCCTTGTCCATGGTATCATAAAATATCTTCCTTGGAGCTCACCCAAAACAGAACAGGTTGCCTGGTCTGATGTCAATTGAAATTCTGACACACAAATACCAAATGTTGAACCAGATGTTACGATACTGAGATCAAATCAGTAATAACAATAAAAACACCTTTGCGGATAAAATAAGTTGCTGGAATAAATAACACAAATAAATTGTTAACGCAGTTCGGTGCAATGTCACCTACTCTGAGGACATCCAAGCCATGAAGGAAATACACTATAATAGTATTAGTTTGAAGCTTAAATAACCCATGTTTACAATTGCTCTCTTAATCACCACCCATGCGATTTCTACCTAGGACACTCATAGATATGAGAATCCCCTCTCACTTCCCACAATCACACCCCTATGATTTTCAACAACAATGATAGACAAAAGTAGAAAACACTCTTCAAAGACAAGACCAGTTATGCTTAAAAGCTTTTGGCTGATGAACAGTAGAAAACTTGACACGCAATCTAGTCTTGCTTAAAAGCTCATGAGTGATTGACAATGAACAACCTAAACTCAATCCAACTCTAATATCATAAGATAATATAGTGGATCACAATGAACAAAGAACAAACTAAAAACCCTAAACTCTTATCTCATGCACACGGCTTCTCTAAGTGTTTTTAGGTATAGAAAGTCCTCATATATAGACTCTTGCTAGTATGGGCTTGGACTCTTCACGCAAATCCAATATTTCAGCTGCAAATCTTTTGCAAAATCTTCTCCACAAAAATAGGAACTAAAATATAAAATTTCCCTAAAAAGTCTCCAAGATACTTTTTATTAAGTCAAATCAAATTTGCAATGTTCCTAAAATATCCTTGTTTGACTGGGACTATATGAGAACTAAAATCATTCAGAATCTCATATTTTAAAAACAAATCTTCAAAATTTTAAAAAACTAAACAATAATGATGTTCTATTATAATATGTTACAACATTTATCTTCAGTAATGTTTGATAAACATGTCAAGAAATTTGTCACAACATCTTGCAGTGAACCATGTTTTATCAAAATTATTGTCAATCATATAACTATGAATCTAACAGTAGTGTAGTCCTTTTACAGCTATGATGCATATTTCAAGTTTTTTCTTCCATGAGAGTGATTTCGTATTCCTTAAACATAAGTGATCATAGAGAGATCCATTGAACATGTATTCATACACCAGGATTTTCTCATCCTTGTGATCACATACTCCTATAAAAGATGTCAAATTCGGAAGATGCATCAAGAAGTTGAGTTCGATTTCATTCTTGAACTTCCATTCATCGAAGAATATATTTCTCATCTGCTTCAATGCTACTGGATAATCAGTTTCACAATTATGCTTCTAAAAACATAAATTTTCCAATTGTTCCATCCAGTTAGCTATTCCTAAGTGATTGGCCAAAGGAGCAAAAATCTCCGAAGTCTCCTTTGCAAACCTCTACTGCTTGGCAAACGGCAATGCATCTAGTGTCATCATATTATGTAATTGATCTGCCAATTTAATGAGGACAACTATTGCATCTCCCATGGCAAGGAACATTGTATGCAGGCGATCTGCTTCAACAGACTTGTTAGATGTGTTGTTGTCTTGAGCCCACTTAACTAAGTGACTCAGTTTAGAAACCTAAAATGCCATTACAATCAGTTAGATTCTTGAAGGAAAAATTTATACAAAGTTCAATAAGCATAAGTGAAGACATAAATTGGCATCATACATTATACATTCCGACACAAATGCCACCCGGTAGCAATACAAAAATTGAATAGAAAAACTGAAGTGCAGCTCGTAACCAACACGCAATATATTAAAGCATCAAAACTATTATAAAATCCTAAGCAAACAAAACTTACTGCATAAACCAATTAGACAACTTGTCATTACTTCCAAACAATAATAATAACTAAAACATCAAGAAGGAGAAAACGACTCAATAGCCAATATAGAGACAAGACAACAAACATCTAGAAACCACTCAAAGATGAACATAGCCAATAAGATATGTAAGGTGTACACCCAACATTTATTGGAACATAGCAAGTCATTAACACTAGATCTAAAACAAAAAATGTATGACCAAATTAAATTGCAAAGGCTGATTCAAAGGTCAGCTAAAAACATGCAAATCAAAAACATAAAACTCCATAATCTTAATCTTAAATAACAACCAATTACTGATTAACACCAAAAATATCCCTCACCCCTTTAACTAAATCAGCAACTCTGGCTCCAAACATTCCAAATATACAATCATAAGTCAAAAAAGCATCATCAAGTGTATCATGCAAAAGCCCTGCAGCAACTACAGTCAAATCCGCATTGATCAAAGCCAGCAACACAGCAGTTTCCAAACAATGCTGCAAATACGGATCACCACTAGCTCGCATCTACAAACAAACAAAAAATCAAAATCATTTAAACAAACAAAAAATCAAAACCAAAAATCATACATTTCAAATCCAATCACACATAAAATTCAACTACATGTCCTCTATGTGCTTTCTCTGCTTCACAAAGCGCCTTAATAACAAACTCTTCACAAAAGATCTTATCCCTGAGCACTCATCAACAACTTCTTAGCATAAGGCTCAAACTCAAATCCAAAGCATCTCTCCATAAAAGTATCCTCCAAATTGAAAGTCAACTCATCAACAACTTTAGAAGAACAACCTCCATCAAACTCTCCACCACCACTACCACTACCACCACCACAGCAAAGCCTAACACCAATAGAATCATATTCCAAACAAGAAGAACCCAAAGTACTCCTCACAAACTCTTCAAAGAACCCACCAGCACTACTACTCCTCGTCGATCGAACCATATCCAAGCTACCACTACACGAAACCAGACACTGAAAAACAGAAATTGGACTCTGAATCTGATGATCCCTATCCCTCCTCCAAGATCCACCAAACTTACTCTGAATATGAAAACGGACTTCCAAGCTGCTTCAATTCATCCTCATCTCCACCAGAAAAACACGGAACATGCTTCACCGCCACCGAAGACGAAAATAACACGACAAACAACCAATCATAGGCCTCGCTGACGTCGACGCGGACGTCGTAGCCGTCGATGTCGGAAACGAAGATCTTGATCCAAAATCAAAATCATAGAAAGCGTGGGGACTAATCTGATGTGATGCGGAACATACACTACTCGGTGGACTCGCGTAGAGAGATATAGTTGAAACCGTCATGAAACAAAACCTTCTTCTTCCTTTTGAATTTGAGAATTAGGGTTTTCTAAATATATTTTTTAGATTTTAGAAGCAAATAAGCTGGTTTTTTTTTACTTCTACCATTTACACCTGTTATTAAAGAAACGGGAGTAATAGACATTTTATTATAATAATTTTTTAATTTAATCTGTTTTTCAAAAAAATAAGGTGTCTAGTGTTACTTGTATATACTAAATATGAGACTTTTTTACGAATTTGCCATCGTGTTTGTTATTTACAGCCGTTTTTAGTATAATAGATGTAGATTTAAAAACGTATTGTCATTTTTGCACCCGTGCATGTTATTTCACAATAACATCAACATTTCATTATGGTAACTCAACGATTCGCTCATCAAATATATAAACTATCATGAAATCAATAGAGAAGAAGGATCTCGCCCTTGTTCTCCTTTTTTACCTCTATTGCTCCAACTCCAAAAATATGAAATGACACTGTCAAGTTCTCTAAATCCTTTATTTTATTTCAAAATCTATTTCCTTCTAATTAGGCTATTCCCCTTTTACTCCTAACTTATCCTTATATTCCCTTCTTATCTTCCATAATTTCAACCTTGCCCTAAATCTCTCTAACCATCTTATTTTTCTATTATTTTATTAATAAATCTAATATTCCTTATTTTTATATCACCCATGCTATTTTAATCATTTACGTCATAATTTTATTTATTTTACTATAAGTCTATTAATTTAATATTTCTCCCAATATTACTATTTTATTTTATTTTAATTATTTTAATCAAAATACTAATCTTTCTAGTTATTCTAATTAAGTCGAACAAGGTTCAATTCTCTCCATACTCTACGACTATTCTCTACACCCCATAACATATAATCAAATGATAATTTATTTAATTAAACACTCAATAATTAAATAAACACACAAATAAGTCAATTAAATCTCTTAATTGAAAATTGGGGTGTTACAATTATGCCCTACTTAAGAAATTTTCTCCCTAAAAAATTATATGAGGAAAACACAATCGGATATGACTCTCTCATCTGTTCCTCACTCTCTCAAGTCATGCTCCCACCAGTGGGTTCTACCCAAACTACTTTCACCAAGGCAATCTCTTTACAACATAATTTCTTCACTTCTCAGCCCTTAAAATGTATGAGTGATGTCTCCACAATTAAGTTATCTCTCACCTTCACATCATCCACTTAGATCACAAGAGACGAATCCAGAATGTACCTCCTTAACTGAGACACGTGAAACACATCATAAAGATTTGCAAGCGGCGATGGCAAAGCAATCCAATAGGCTACTCCTCATAACCTTTCCATGATCGGGTATGGACCAACAAAACACGGTGTGAGCTTTCGAGACTTCAAAGTTCGACCAACATTGGTTAATAAAGTAACTCTAAAAAACACATGGTCTCCCTCCTGGAACTCAAGTGCCTTCCTCCTCTTGTCATGGTAACTTTTTAGATGACTGTGACACTTTCATCTTCTCTTGGATCATCTTGATCTTATCAATTTTCTGCTGAATAATTTTAGGCCAGAGCATCGCACTCTCGCTTAGCTCATACCAACATAAAGAAATTATGAGAATGATAAACAGTGCTGAACTTTAGCTTAGTACTATAAGTTGCATGTAAACTCTCCCAGAACCTTGATGTATATCTCAGATTTCTCTCTAACACGATACTCGAAGGAATACCATACAATTTCATAATCTCACCAATATACAATTCAGCCAACTTTTGCAAAGGATAATTATACTTATCGATATAAAATGATCTAATTTGTTCAACCTATCCACAATCACCCAAATTGAATCACACCTCTTTGAAGTTTTTGGCAAACCTATTACAAAATCCATGGAAATGTTATCCCATTTCCACTCTGGAATATTTAATGGTTGCATCAGCCCCAACAATTTATGATGTTCAATCTTTGACTTGTGCAAGTCAAACAAGGAAATACAAATTCAACAACCTCTTTCTTCCTTCCTGGCCACCAAAACATTTTCTTCAAGTCTTGATACATTTTGGTCGCACCTGGGTGAATACTCAGCTTACCACGGTGTCCTTCCTCAAGAATATTCTTATTAAATTTTGGTATATCTAGAACGCAAAATATATCTCTAAATCTCATCACACCATTTTCATCAATTGTGACGTCACTACCTTCGCCTCGATTGATCAACACTAACATGTTGATCAATCCCAAGTCGATATTTTGTCTTTCCCTGATCTCATCATGGATACCACTGGTCACTTTCAACATACCGAACTTCACACTAATAGGAGTTTCTTCACATACTAAACTCATATCTCTGAATTACTCGATTAACTTCAAACTCTCGAACCATAAGCATCGACATGTGCAAAGACTTCCTACTCAATGCATCAATGACTACATTAGCCTTACCAGGATGATAACTTAAGTTAATATCTCAATCCTTCAGGAATTACAGCCACCTTATCTGCCTCATGTTCAATTCCTTATGGTCAAATAGATACTTTAAGCTTTTGTGATCACTAAACACCTCAAATCTGGAACCAAAAAGATAATGTCTCCAAACTTTCAATATAGAAACCACGACTTCTAATTCCAGATCATGCATAGGTTAATTCCTCTCGTGAAATTTTAATTGTCGAGAAGCATAAGCAACAACCTGACCATTCTACATCAGCACACCACATAAACCCATCTTTGAAGCATCACAGTACACCACAAATGACTCAATTGGATTCTATCAAATTAACACTAGAGCGATCGTTAAATTCTTCTTGAGTTCTCAAAAACTTTCTTCACATTTCACATTCCAAACATAAGCTTGACCCTTTGGAGTCAACTGAGTCAAAGGAAATGCTATTCTTGAAAAACCTTTGATGAATCTCCTATAATAACCAGCCAAATCCAAAAAAACTTTATATCTCTGTAACATACTCTGAAGACTCCTACTGAAATACAACATCAACTTTTGATGGATCGAGGGTAATCCATCCACTAGAAATCACATTGCCGAGAAAACTCGCTTCTTTTAACCAGAATTCACATTTTGACCACTTGGCATAAAACTTATTCTCTCTTAACACCTGCAATACAATTTTCAGATGCTCCACATGCTTTTCATTGGACTTAGAACATATCAAGATGTTGTCAATAAACACAACCACAAAATTATCTAGATAAGGATTAAAAATTATATTCATATTGTTGTACCCCAAAAATTTTCCCTCTCAATTTCTCAAAGATTCTCTCACAAGATCTCCATTGATTTAAGACTACACCAAGATTGATCAGCTCAAGATACCTCCCCAACACTGAGGACTCAAAATTAGGGTTTAAGTTTGTGTAAAGAAAATTGGACCTTTAATGCTTCATATGATTTTCATAAATGATTTTGGACTCCCAAGATTGCTTGTGTCAAGTTTCAGGCTTTGGATCACATTTTTGCTCAGTCAATTGGTCAGTTGGCCTAAAATCAACTATATTGGGGGGAAAAGTCAATTGTTTTCCATTTACAGTCAAAACTCATAATTTTTATCCATGTCAACATATTACACTCATATGAATGATTGATAATTGAAATTTGGTCAACTGATGAAAAAGTCAATTGTACACTGAAAAGTCGAACTTTGACTTTTAGATCAAAATCAAGTTTCAAAAATCATATTTCATCAAGACATGTCAGAGTATGAAGATTGTTCATCAAGAAATCAAGAGTCAAGATTACTTTGAAAAAAGTCAAAATTCTAAACACTTAGAAATTTTTCTAAGTGTTAAGAAAAATATGATAATTTCATAGCTTTGCGCCAGATTTTCACCATGATGCAAGATGATTCAAGAAAAACATCCAACATGAAAGTTTTAGATCTCAATGAGATCAGAAACATTGCAGGGTAGAACTTCTTCTAGAAATTCTTGGATATCAATTTATAAATCCATGAAGACATGTCCATGAAACTAAAACACTTAGTTAAAATTCTTGGCGTTTTAAGTCAGAATTTTGACAGAACTTCTGGGCTAATTTTCATACAGTTACAATGGGAATTTGAAAAAGTGATTCAAAGAGGGATTGCAGAGCATGTTACAAGCTTTCTAAAAAGTCTAAGAACTTTGTCAGATCATGCTGGAGCAGGGAGAATTGAAGATCAGAAGTTGGACACTCGTTCTTAAATTATGAGTCATTTTCATGATGAACATCTGATCCAATTCCAAACAATGCTGCATAATCCCACTTTTCAGGCCCTCTAACGTGTGTATTTATCCTTAATCAGAAGGTTACACAAGTTTATGAGCTATGAACCACTTGATTTAAGCTTTGTCCAATACACTTTGTCATTTAAGGAAGAAAATTCACATTTCCATTCTGGAAAAGTGACTTCAATCATAAAGTCCACTCTCTTTGAGATTTGTGTTTGTTGTTTCTACACAAGCATCCCCTACAAACTCAGAACAAGAGTGTTTAAAGTTTCTATCCACCCTATCTTGCCTTGAAACCATGTTTGTCTAAGATTGCTTCAATAACAAGTCAAAATCCACAACATGTGATTTTGTACTTCTGACTTCCCCAAGCTTCCAAACCCTTTTCCTATAAATTAAACTTTCATTTGAAAGATGAAGAGGATTGGACGAGCCCTGAAACTTACTAAAACACCCTAGTGATAACACGAATTTATATAACATATTTGGCTTAATTTTCATAGATAATATTAGTATTTTTATCTATTTATTCTATTTTATTTTTGTATTACGTTGGTATTTCTTTTGTTTCAGGTATTTGTATTAAATAAAAGATCAATTGAGCAAAGAAACAAAATTGAGGGAAAATCGGATTAAAAAGCCAAAGAAATGAAGCAAAAGGGGTGATATAGCAAAAAGGAGGAGTTAAGAAGAAAGAAATAATTATACAAAGAAAAAGACTAAGCCCAGAAGAGCAAAAGCCCAGCAGAAGTTCAATCCACAAGGTGTTACGACCGTAACAGCCTTGTGACGACCGTA